CAACTTGCATACATATTTATTCCACTTGACGCACACACAGGCATGGCGTAATCTCCACTGGGGACAGGGGGGACATGGCCCCCGCACTTTTCGAAATCCCGTTTGTGTCCTCCCACTTTACAAATATGTTTATTATTATTTTTTTACGCAACCCGTCATCGCCAAGGAGGAGCACACAGCCTCTGTGAGCGAGCGAGAGAGCTAGGGAGAGGGAGAGAGAGAGAGCGAGAGAGAGAGAGAGCTAGGGAGAGCACACTTTTATCTATTTAATATAGATAAAGTAAGAAGTCATTCCAGTGTGTACTATAGGACAGTACAAAAAACAGTTTAAAAGGGGAGTGATTAGTAAAATATGCATAAATAAAAAGAAAGAATGCTAATTAGGTAACATAAGATAAGAATAAACCAGTTTAAATGATTTGTTATTGGTTGTGATAATATTCTAAAGATGATAGGAGTATTGAAAAGTATACAGCTCCCTTTCATATGAGTGTTGAGAGCTGTATCCATAAATTCATTTTGTACTCAAAGTGCAGCAGATTGGTGCATTTCACTTCAACATTTAAAAAAAAAATCTTTTAGAGGAGGTGAGGACCCCCCTAGAAGATGTGAGATCCGCCCTGGAAGATGTGAGGCCCCCCCTAGAGGATGTGAGGTCCACCCCCAAATAAAGCAGGTTAAAATTATTAAATTGCATACATTTTCTTTTAGTAAACACTGAAAACGGGTCCCACAGACCCAAACAGCATACAAAGGTTAAAGGTAAGCATATAATATATAAATATAAAATATATACACTGCAAAAAAAAAGTAAAGTAGCCCCCGACTTGGCTTTATTTTTTTAAAGTAGCCCTCATCCTAAAAAAGGTTGGTGACCCCTGGTCTAGAGCTAACATATTGTCATGTTACATAATAGAAAAAACATCTGGACAGTTTTTATTTTAAGTTGCAGTGTGTGTAACCTCACATATGATTTGTATTTATCTTCATTTCTGTGATATTTCGCGACCCGACCACGGATAAGCGGGAGAAGATGGATGGATGGATAATTTCTGTGAGCGAAAATCAAACCTGGAAGACTGAATAATGTTGTTTTTGTTTGGTTGCTGGTTTTCTTAGAGTTAATTCATATTAAATGTTGTCCGAACACCAAAAGTTACACTCTGGATCCCCAACATCACATCCACCTTGTGTTTGGAATAGTTGATTGACATACCTACAAACTTCCCAAATGTTCTTTTCCCCACTGAAAATATTGTAGCAACTTGACACAGGCCGTTTTACTGGCCTTCCCTCTCTCACTTCGCCTCATCTTGTCTCCTCAGGTGGTGTATTTCACAGCCACCTTCCCCTACGTGGTGCTGGTCATCCTGCTAATCAGAGGAGTGACCCTCCCTGGTGCCTTCAACGGCATCCTCTACTTCATAACTCCAAAGTGGGAGAAACTGTGGTCTGCAAAGGTACCTGACGCATGACGCTTAATTCACCCATGTTGTGTTGTTCTCCGTCCTTTCCCTGCTCTTCACCTGCAGCCCTTCCTCTCCTCCTCTGTCAGGTGTGGAAAGACGCAGCCACTCAGATCTTCTTCTCTCTGTCGGCTGCTTGGGGAGGCCTCATCACTCTCTCTTCCTACAATAAGTTCCACAATAACTGCTACAGGTAAACACACAAAAGGTAAACCATGCTTCTGGCAGACACATTCAAACTGTCACTGTAGACATTGACACTGTTTCTTTATGTCTGGTAGAAATGCAGTTCAGTGTTTCTTTCATTTCTTCTCTTCTAAAGCATCCCCCTCTGTCTTTCAAATTTGTGAACTATTGTTGTGTTTTATTCATTTCACTCCCACTCAATTTGAAACATATAACGGTCACATAGGACACATCTACAAAACCAACAGATTTAAAGAGTAATAAATAAACAAAACGTAATGAATGTTAGACTTCAGAATGGCTTGTTGTTGAGTTGTTTTCATAATTCTAAGAAATATCCGCGACTAATTTATTTGGCATATATTAAAATGTTCTCTTTCAATTCAAATTACCATCATGAATGCTTTGCTACAAAAATACCTTCAATAAACATCTAATAACATATTTTACAAACATGCCCATTGCATAATTGTTATTATTTATTTTACAATATAATACATAATGCACTACATACAGTACACCCCCCTGTGTACACTTTCTGTAACACTTAGATTTGCAGTATTAACTCCTACCACCAGATGGCGCCATTGTTTCTCTTTTCTGCTTTACACAACAGTCATGTCCTGTTTCAAATGATAGAGCTTTACCATCATATAAAATTGGTTTTATGTTGCATGTTTAACATATTGCTGCATTATTTACATCACTAAAGCAGATATTAACCATTTGTTTCTCCCTTTCCCTCTTTTCCCCTGCAGGGATACTATTATTGTGACATGTACAAACAGTGCGACCAGTATATTTGCTGGCTTTGTCATCTTCTCGGTCATTGGTTTCATGGCACATGAGTTGAAAGTGCCGATAGAGCAGGTGGCGGATGAAGGTAAGTTACCACGGCAGCAGCAGGCCGGAGCTGTTCACTCAAACACACCTGAAAACGTTACCTGCTGTGGAGATGGTGTGGGTCATCTTCATTTACGTGTGTGTGTGTGTGTGTGTGTGTGTGTGTGTGTGTGTGTGTGTGTGTGTGTGTGTGTGTGTGTGTGTGTGTGTGTGTGTGTGTGTGTGTGTGTGTGTGTCTTTGCTCGTGGAAGTCTGGTCAGAGCCTCTGGATACACCACGAACGCTATGCCTGGACCTGACACACACAAACAGAGCAAAGACACACACACACACACACACACACACACACACACACACACACACACACACACACACACACACACACACACACACACACACACACACACACACNAAATTGGACCTATCATGCTATATTTGAATAATATAGTGTAGGACCATACCTATATAAGGCATATTCATACTTTTTATTTTTCAAAATACCAAACAGATCATGCATTTTAGCCATTCCTCATTTCGCTCAATTTAACACTGTCTTTTCATGGGCTGATTCTGTGAGAACAGCACCATCTACAGGCCTGGCATATGTACTACAGCGTCTCCAGCGCTTTCGAATGGCAATGTCTGTGGCTGTCTCCTCCTGATTGGTGGAGTTGGCCCAATAGCCATAGCGCCACTTCTGTGACGTCACAGAAGTGTTCAAATCTGGATCAGTCTATATCAGATCCGTTGCAGCCCCTTTTTAAGAGATTTGGGTATGGAGGAAAATAGAGAGGGTTGTGTTTTCTGACACTTGGTGAGTTCCCTGGAACACCGGGGACACATATTCATGTATAAAAGACGTACAAAAGTGCATTTTGCATGATAGATCACCTTTAAGTTAAGGTCTTCTTTTGAATAAGAAAAAAACGTTGGGGTTATCCACTGCTACGATGGCCTCGTAAGAACTCAGATGCTCAATTCCGTTGCTTGGTAATCTTCTTTATTGTTAAGAAAACCAAAGCTATCAATAAGGACTCCTAGGCTCTACTAGGATTCTCCATATAATCACTAGGTTCCACTAGGTAATGTAACATGAATCTCTGGTAAACAAGCATAGAGATAACGACATCACAAGACGAACCGACACCAGACAAAGGGAGAGAAGGACTAAATATACACATTAGGCAATGGGGCACAGGTGGACACAATCAGGGGTGGGAACAACAATCACTCTAGCAGGTGCCACATGGACAGGAAGTGCCGACACCTGGAGAGAGAGAGTAGAGTAATTAACATCAAAAGACAGATATACAAAACACTAAAACACAACAGCCTCTTTCTGCATCCCAGCTTATTGAAGGACTTCTTGCTTGTGTGGATTTACTTAAATGACTTCTTACCTGCGTGCATTTAATGAACAACAGGCAAGCTCCACCCGATCATTGAAATAGCAAATTCGTTTGACATTAAAGATGCATCTCTTCTCCCTCAGTCAGCACATGGTATGTACCAACAAACACCAGGCCTGAACGAGTGTTCAAATCATGTTTTGTTTTTTAAATCTCCTCCTCTTTGATCATAAATCCTGTTAACTAAAAACAGTATGTAACATTTTCATACAGCTGCTATGCTTTCAGCTATTTCGCTGGTTATACAAGTGGATGAAAAGGTTAGAGAGGGGATTTATGCATAATTAAAAGACAGTGACAACAAATAAAACAATCACATTTATTTATTGAGTCATAGGTTATACATTTCATGATATAATAGCGATATATTATTATTGGCAAAGATACTATAATCCAATTGCATTTCTATACATAAATACAAAATCTGAGGTAGGGCCTCAAAGATTGGTGACATTGAAAATAAATAAATGCATTTCACATATATGATATATATTTCCTTTTTTCTTTTTTACATTTCAAACTTATTTAAAAGATATTTGTTATATCAATATCTACTCTGTTTTCAAATCAAAACGATGTTATGGGCTGTCGGAGGCACATATCTATATCCATAGGCAGCAGTACCTCACGTAGAACACACAGAAATATATGACATTACTCAAGTAATTAGAAATGTAACCTATGCATTCATAGGTCAGACAACAAAGTGCCAAAAAGACACGACAAACATAACAATAGGAATACCGGTACCATATGAGACAGACAATTAGCTATTCTGTGGTGTTATTTTGATATACATACAATATTCAACCATTAGAGGACATCTATAAGGCCAATGGTTACCTGAAGATGTTTTGTAACGTATTGGCAAACATCGAGGAACACTACATGGGATATGAATGGCAGTATCTTAACTTCCTATACCTAGATGACACATTCCTTTATTCTTCTAAAGTTTGTTTTTCTGTTTTCACTACAACCCTAGTTTAAGTACTCTTTCTTTGGTTACCTATACTGCCCAAAGTTCACTTGCAGGCAAAGCGAATTAACGTTTATTTTTCTGTTTTCTCAGTCCCCCTCTGTAAGAAGGACAACCCTCTGTTTTTCTTAAATTCATGTAGAACAAAAAGCTCCCCAACGCATACATGCACAGACTTTTTCTACTGAGAGAGAAAGGAGAAGGATTACAATACATGAACATTGAGTTACAGCAACACAAACTGCACATGCAAGCTCTTCGGTGTTATATTTTATGAGGCAATGTTGATTTAACTAAACCCTAAGCTGTTTTTTTTTCTCGAACCAAAAGCACAGAAGCCCAGTAGAAATGGAAACACAGAGACACAAAACACAGAATTTACAGCTATTTAGCCGTGGCTCTTAAGGAAATCATTCATAAGAGGCTTTTAGAGCATACTGTCCATTAGATTCAACACATGATTAAAAGGCCCAGCCTGCCCTTATGGCCACCCCTGTTCTCAAGTGAGTGGTAGCCATTGGATTCATTTTTCTTTTGGAGCATTATGGTGTTGGCAGTTCACCCAGCTCACAATTTGTCAACTAAGAAAGACAGAGGCATCCTGGAAAGAGAAATCTCCTCTAGTTCTACGCTGAGACTGGCCATGCAAACATCTGATTGACAGTTAGATGGAGTTCCGTAAAACTAATACAGAGACAAACACCCACACACAGACGAGCATACAGACATACATTATTATTACGTTTGAACGAATAAAGCTACTCAACAAAAGCAACACTGTGGAGCAAGCAAGCTACACAACAGGGCTTTGGTGCTCATTAGTTGATTATGTTTTTGTATACAACCTCTTTAATAACATCTGTGCTATATGCATGTTGAGATTATGAAAAGACATGGCTTTGAGATACGGTTAAGGAGACCCTTAAACGTCTGAGCAACGGTAATTGCATCCAAGTACCAGTAAACGCCTGCAGTGTTAAAAGCATTATAAAGCCAATCAGGACTTTGTGTCAACGTGAATGTGCAGACCCAAATAGTCAAAGTGTGGAAAGGTCTAATTGCTTCTGTGTTTATACATGGTGTTACTGTGTAGGTAATTGGTTGGCAACCGAAAAGTTGACTGCTGTCATGTGACATTAAAGAACAGTGGGACTCCTGCTGAGCTGCACTGTTTTCTTTCCTTCATGCTGCGTAGTAGTTACATCTGAAGAGGACTTTGACGCCCACAGAAACACTCTAACAGAAGCTCATTAGTGCTCATGATGTCTTGACAGCACCATTTAAAGGGACTAAATTACAGCCATTTAACTGATTCTGATGGATCAGTGTGAGCCTTTCATTTTCTGAATATGAGGATAAAACGTGTGCCAATACAATTTAAAGTTGGTTACAAGGATGAGGATTTTGTTAATTAATCTTAACTAGTTATTGTTTTACATTTAACTATGTTATGAAAAGCAATATAATTGATTTAGCACTGCACACAGTTGGGCACAAGTCACTCGTACATCCTGTATCGGCATCGCAAGGCGTGTTTAACAAAAAGCAAGCAAAAATCTAAGCGATGCTGCGTTGAGGTACTCAGAAAGTAGTATTCCGACCCTCTGCAACAAACTCTAAATATAATTTAGCATTCGGATGGCTCAAGATTCTGTTTCCTATGCACTGAATGCTATTGTTCCTACAACTACCGGAGTAGTTTGATGGAGACGAGTATACCTGAGACCCTGTTTTTACGAGGACACAGAGAAGCAAGAGGCATAAGTCTGAAATGGCTAAGAGGTCTCCGAAGGTCAACCACAAACAACAAGAGACAAAGTACACTTCCAGAAAGGATGAGGCCATTTTCTACGCTATTCTTCATCTACTCACACTTAGCAGCTGCTCCTAACAATTTTGAGCACGCGACAACACACGCGCTTACGACTCGTTTTAAGGAGTGTACACTTTGTACAAGATAATACACAGCTAGCAAGAGAAACATGGGGTTTTCAGAGAGACATGAACACAAACACACACACATTCACTCTCAATCTCTTTCTTGCTAGCTCTCTCCTCTGCTGGAGGCTATACATATAATATATATATATATAATGATATATTTGATTTACTTTACTGATGTGATGCACATTGTTAAGATGGTTTGACTTGACAGGTTCACAACACATACAGAGATTAATACACTGTCTAAAATATAAGCACAGAGTGACTATAAGGTCAGGTTTTAGTGTGTTAAATTGGTTAAATGGCCACGTTACTAAAGGAAGGAGAGACTACTCTAGTGATGTCCTACATTGGGAATGTGTTCTTTACATTTTAGAATAATATAATAAAGGAGACCAGGAGTATAACTTAGTAAATAGACCAAAGGAGAGGGTATCACAAATAGTCCCTTGGATTCAGAGAGAAAAATAGACCCAAGCTTCTACCATACTGCAGAGTCATCCAGGCCGAAGTGTATCTACTGAATGTGGTTATCAGGATGCATTCGCTACTCTACTGCGAAGGAGGAGGCACACATTGCAGATCGTATAATCTATTTTTAACAAAGCAAGAGCGAGTGAGCAGAAGCTGCTGTGAATATACATATATACTGCTGGGTAGGAACGAAATGTGAAACCAGAGCAATTTTCTTCTTTTTTCCAGAGGCTGATATTATTTGTAATGCTGTTGGAAATGTGCACACGAATGGAACAAAACACAGATCCCCGCCGAGCTCATTGAACCGCTGCTTCTCTGTCTCACAATTTTCTTTTTGTTTTCCTGTGTCTGCTCGCACCAAGTGATTCATTATCACATGCACACACAAACGCACGTACACACACGACTCCATAGGGGGCAGCTATGGTGAGTCTAATATTGCAAGTGCAATCTGAGCTGTGTCATTTTTATGACACAATCTTCTCTTGGAATAAAGATCCCTGGGAAGGGTTCTGAAGTAATCAGTGGTCATGTGTGGGGGGCAATGATAGCCCATTAACCGAGTACGAAGCCGCAGAGGAGGAGTAGACCCCACCTGGGAAGCCACTCCTCCATGAAAGAAGAGAGGAGGGGGTGGAGAGGAAGGAGGGAAGGGAGAGGGGGTCTGTCTGCAGATCCACCAAACTGGGAGGATGACAGGACACATGAGGGTGAAGCACAAACAGGAGAAAGGGAGAGAAGGGAGAGGAGGGGTGTTTCCAGGTGCCCCCTGCAGGGGTTGGAGGTTGTTGGTGCAATTATGTCAGGGTAACTGCTACTGTTTACTGGTAGGTGCCGAGCTGGAAGTCCTTGGGGGGAAGTTTGAGACCAAGAGAGTTGGTTCCCAGGGGGTCGGTCATGTTTTTGTAGCGTTCTCCACGGTGCTTCAACAGGAAGGGACCCCAGTCGGGTTGAGGGGAGCAGACCAGCTTCAGGCGCTGCGGGGGGGGGGAGGGAGAGACACAACACAAGTGGGTTTGTACGAGGAACTTATCCACGGTCAGTTCATTAACCTCAGTTTGGAGAAACACACAGGAGTATCAGCACTGAAGAGAACTAATGTTCTGCTTTAGACAGGGTCAGCATCAAAACCTAATTAAGCCACATAGAGTTGAGAACTCTTGAAAACATTTCAACTCTTTTTTGTTTTTTTGTGTGTTTTGGTCTAAAGGTCATCATCAGCCTGTAGAGAATAACAAAGATGCCCTCAAGTTCTGTAACTAGTCTGTTTCTATATATTTTTCTCACTGGTATTGCTAATTCGGGCAAAGCATGCAGGTTATGTTGCAACCGAGAAAATCAATATCTGTTTGCTGTAAGTGTATATCATATTTAGAATGTCTCCAATGATTTACCTTGCCGTGAGACAGACCTTTCTACCATTATCAAAGAGCTGCATGTGGTTCAAGGGCCGCGGGTTGCCTAAACCTGCTCTAGGTTAGGTCAATAGCGGTGGGTGGGAGACAGAGTTGTTTTCTTAAACAATAACTTGGTTGTTAAAGGTCCTGATATACGGACTGATTTGATTTCTTTTTTCTAATACAACATTTAAAACCTAAAATTAAACAAGTGCAGAGAAAGTTATAGGCCTAGTCCTTTTGCTTGTAAAACATAATGGAAACATGAAGTGTCTGTCCTAATGCATAAGTAAAAACGTTGATGATTAAGCTTTCAATATAGTCACAGACAGAAAACAGATTAAAAGGTAAAGCTGGAGGATGCTCTGTGATCTGGGCGGCTGTCAGAGCCGCACAGGGAACAAAGACGTTTGGAGAGAAGGCTACGCTAGTCATCATTCATTAATCTGAGTATTTAATTAGGACCTGCCGGACTCCAAGAAAAATTGCAAAATGAATAGTCAGTTAGCTACTGCCTCTCCCTGCTAAAGAGCGAAGGATGAGACTATTGATTTCTCCAACAGTGTGTGTTTGTGATTCTGTTGGACCAGAACATATACGTGACGTGATCATGTCTTGTTACGGCTTTTTCTCACTAATACCTCTCTAAAGCTGCCAGGTGCGAGGTACATCTTAACGCAGAACATGATGGGGATCCAGATGACGGAGCAGCAGACCATGAGCCAGCCCATGACCATGGACCAGGTGGGGTAGGTGTAGTCCTCATACGTCATCCCCTTCCACTGGTACAGACTCAATCCCAGGATGCCCTACACAGAATATGGAAAATGGAGATTAAAAAAGGATGTCTTCTAGGTTACCTTTAAGAATCTCTTCAGCTGCTGCAACATTGGCGCAGCTTATTGGCCACAGGTAAAAGGATTAGATTGTAATGGTCAGCTTCATAGTTATAGATATTGGGAATGGGTTTGTTGTTTATTAGCGTGTGGATGTTTCTGTTTAATACATGAACTCAAACTGTAATTCTTGTCTTGTCCCATTTTAGATTGTAAATCATTTCTGTTTCTGTGTGTTGGCCCCCATTCTAAAGCTTCAGATATTTTTATCAGGGTGTCCCATTTCACATACCTCCAATAATTCCCTTTTTTAAGGGAATTTAATAAAAAAATGTTTTATATTGAGTAAAATAAAAAAATAAAATGAAAAATAAAGTTGTGTTAGCAGATATTCACAGAAAAGGACTCACGTTATTTAATATTATTCATCACTTAAGAGAGAATGCTGATTTCTTTGTGATGAGGTGCAACTTCAGATAATTGTTCAAATAATATTTGTAGCTTTATTTACATCTGTGCAATGTAAATAAAGTATTTTAAAGGAAATAAAAAATAAATCTATAGTTTTTGGAGAACTCTAGAAAACATTTCCAGGCATTTCAACTGCTTTCGCACGTCCGACACAGAATAACCAAGATGGCCTCCAGTTCTGTAACAAGCCTGTTTCTATATCTTTTTATCTTTCTAATTTGGGCAAAGCATGCAGATTATGTTGCAACCTTCAAAACAAAATATACTTTGCACTGGAGAGTGACATGGCACCAAAGTTCAATCAAAACAAAGGCAGAAAACCCCACTGTTCTTCACAAAGTCTTATCCCTGGAAACTCCACACTCATGGGTAAGAATATAAACAACTATTACACTTAAAATACAAATGTTTAGACTTCTGTAGCATGATGTAGTCTGAAGATGTATTTCCAATTACTAGATTAAACTCAGGATGCAGAGCTAAAGCTAAAGCAGAGCTTCCTTTTACTATATTTACAAATAATTGGACAGGATTGGACAAAGTGTACCTTCTATTGACTACATTTTGGAACCTGAAAGATTAGAATAGGAGGAAGCAATTGAAAACAAACAGAAATAAACCCAGGGTCGACAGAAATACATTAGCTTGGTGTAGTAGTGCATCAATGAGCTTCCCGAGGAAATCAGATCTCCCTGGAGAGCAGCGAGAGAACCAGCCGGCCTCGCTGTTGCTCCATTCGTCATCGTCACCTCTGATTCAGAGCTACAATGGTTTCCACTACAATTACTAACACGGCTTCTGGCCAGGGTCCAACACTGAACCCTGTGCATCAGATTCTGCTACCACAAATAAGTGGCCGTTTCCCAGAAAATGTGTTGTCTGGAGATAAATGTATGTGTGTGTTTGCAGCAGCTGGGTTATCAACAATCTGGCAGTAACTATTTTGTAAAACAACTTGAGACTTGGTGACGTGACAGGAATAGAAACAAATGAATACACTTCTGTTGCTTTCCAATTGCAAATCAATAAACTTGAAAGGCAGCAGTGAACCATTTTTACGCCGCACATGTTCTGTGTGTGTGTGCGAGAGAAAGAGAATAAGATGAGCAAAAACAAACACACCGTCAGAATGGTTGGAGTCACAAAACCCCAGCAGATTCTCCAGAATCGGTTTGGCTGGAAACCAATCATCATTTCAATGTCCTCACAAAATCTCTGCAGACCTGCACAGACAGAAAGAAAAGAGAAGCAAAATGAAATAAAAGGACAGAAACATGGGAGAAAGACAGAAAGAGGAGACTGAGCTGGGTTTAATAAGGTCCCTTAAAAAAAAGGCCTTGTAAAATGTGTGACTGTGTGTGTGACTGTGTGTGTGTGTGTGTGTGTGTGTGTGTGTGTGTGTGTGTGTGTGTGTGTGTGTGTGTGTGTGTGTGTGTGTGTGTGTGTGTGTGTGTGTGTGTGTGTGTGTGAGAAAGAGAGGGCAGTATAGTTTCTGTGGTCCTTCAGAAAAAGCGTGGGAGCAGATGGCTTCATTCCTGCGGCTTTATTGACGGATAACAGTGAGTGACATGAAGAGGCAGTCACACAATCATTTCAATATGTCACCTGTACTGATGCTCTGACAAACTGGAGTTTTCTTCACCTGGGGAACAGCCTGCTCCTGTACACCTGAGCCCTGTGTGTGTGACTTAGACATCACAACAGAGACCCCTAGTGGTCACAGGTGGAATTACACCGTGTACACCGGTGAGAAAGGGAAGTGAGAACTGCTGTCCTACTCGAAAGACTTCACGATGATCAAGCTCTTATTCACATAGACACCACATCTTTTAAACGTTTGGAACGTTTAAAACATATTTAAATACTAGCCAGGGTAGGCTATGGTGTTCCCTTTTCATTGAATTATCTAACATGTTCATAAGAAAACGAGTTAAGAATGCGACTAGAGAACTTCATTTTTAACGTTTAATAATAGATTTTAAAGTTCCTTTTCCTGTCGATAAGGTTTTGAATAAAACATGGGATTTTGAATACCAGCGATTTTTCTATTTGGGTTTCGGTCGAAAGATTTCTCTATTTCTTCTGTAATAGGTTACTTGTGAATACAAACGTCTCTGAAACAGCAGGTGAATCCTCCTGGGGCACTAAAACTCTTGCCTAAAAGCTATATTGATTCAATTATTATATGTTTAGAACATCTTTGAAGGGTCACTTTGATTGTTTATGTCAAAAACAGCTTTTCTAGACATACGAAGTCTGTGAAAACAGTAATGATTCGGTGGCTCTGGAGGAGATTTGTCAAGTCTGAGAAAACACCTCAAGTGGCACCACTCACACTTCACAACAGAGTTTGAAAGACATGGACATTGAGGGTCTTACAAAAGATGTTATCAGGCTGCAAATGAAAATTGTAGCATTCAGGGTTTGTTGAATTACTTCTTATATAAATGAATAATTTCTCTTAAAACCAGAACAGTTTCCTGCAGCTGTGTTCAGGGATATTTGATATTTGATGATAGATTTTTTTATGTAAGACCTTCAAACAAAAGGGAGGATGGAGCTGAGATTGGTCAAGATATGTAGACAAAACTAACCAGATTTTCATAGATATAAAATGAATACCCAAGGAATATAATCTAATGAGCACATTCGTTCTCCTCAAAGAACAAAATAGTCAGTTAGTTGGTTCACACTGTAGGATGTAACAATAACATTACAGCCTTCATTATTGCATGTGAAAGACATAAGACAGGATCAGCTGTACTCACCATAGAGGTAGGAAATCCCCAACAGCTCGCAGATCGCAATGATGACCAAAGAGTAGGAGGCTGCGTACGTGTCCACCAACTGCAGCATGAACATCCCATTCTGTCACACACACACACAAACTAAATGTTACAGCAGTTCGAGGTATCATCCTTCAAGGACACCCTCCTCCTTCACTTTTTGTCAACCTCTGACTTCTCAATGGAGATAACTGTCACAGCGACTTGCACCGGATGAAAATAAACGACATGTATAAATCCTACTTTGGGCTGGATTTTGCCTTCTGAGGCTGTCTGGGGGGATTCTAATAAGACTCAGCCTCTCTTGTTCCAATCAGCGAGCCTGTCCTCTGAAGACCCCGACTTCACTTTGCATGCAGAGATCTGTCGGCTTATTCAAAGAAAGAGTCCAAGGACATGTGGAGACAATGCTCAAATGTCCCTGTGGGGCCTTGAAGCATCGGTGTGTGCATGGATTTGTGTTTTTAGTGCCGTACCTCTGTAATCATGGGGAACCCGCAGACGAAGAAGATGGCACAGAAGATCAAAGTAAAGAGAGGTTTGTTTTTCCTCAAGTATTTGGGGAACTCGTCCGACACCGAGGTTACGATGGTCTCTATGGTGGCGAACTGGGATGGAGATAATAGAGAGGAAGAAACAGAGAGAGTTCAATCACATGCAAGATGAAAGATTTGTCATTCAGACTCAAATTTGATTAGCCTATAATAGAACAAATTGAATTAAATTATGTTAAATCATCATGAAGTTCGAAATGCTAACTCTGAAAAACACATCATCATATATCCTGACTACAGAATGACTGAAATGGTCTCATCAGCCCAGTTTTGCAGCAGCATTTCAACTAAAAGGCCTCCAGTCAGCACGTTTTCCTCTTTTGTATCAGAGCAGTTGATGATGCTGGAATTCAGTATTCAGAGCCGTTCGCCTCCAATTCATCCTATAAACCCATTTCAGTCAGACAAAACACGTGTTTCTTTCACATGTTTATTAGAAGCAGCATATAGTTTGGCGTCTAGGCTCGGACCTCATCACTCCATAGATATACATAGCACGATGAGTGATGATTAAATAACTAACCCCAGAGCCTACAGGTGGAAGCTGGGGTGGTGGTGGGGCAGGCAAGCAGCAGCGACGTAGAGGTAGCTGCAGCAATAGCAGCAACAAGCAAAGCATAGAGAGAGATCTGGCAGGTTAAATAGAGCGGCATATCAAGGAGACTCTGTTTTGTTGGTTGTAGAGTGGCAAGGGGCGGCAAATTGAGAGAGCTGGTATAGTGTGTGTGTGCATATTCATCTGCTGCTGTCCTCTGGGTTCTGAGCCCATTTTAAAATCATGTTGCATTTGCTAATGGAACATGCTCCTCCTCAGGATTAGGATAATGTTCTTTATTTGTTTTGGTAATAAATGGAATCACGGCAAAAATGGGGCGAAGCCTGCGAGCTGGTTCAGGCAGTCAACTCGAGCACTTATGCTGCATTCATACATAACAGAAAGCCATTGGAGCTGAGCTATCTGCCTCCTCTCAGCTCGTCTACTTCCTACTGAACTCCCAAAACTAATTTCCCGTCAACATCCCAAGCCTATTACCGCCGAGCTGCTTTCTACAACAAAGCCACCAGGCCTCTCTTCGGACCTGCCGCTGCCAAGGCAAAGTAACATCATCATTTACTGTTAATGTAGACTTGTGTCTTAATGCGCCGCTGTGCCCCCCCGCTCCTCTGCTCGGCTCAGAAGCATCACACTGCATGTAGAAGAGTTGGTGTTTTTTACAGGAACTGTTTGCCCAGGATTGTATCCAGAGGTGCTCTGGACTTTGTTTTAAACATGCCAGGGACTTAAGGGTTTGTTTATTGAAGTCACATCAGGAATTAATAAGTGCAGTAACTGACACAATTACAGTTCTGTAACTTTGAAGAGTGGTGTGCATTGGTAGTACAGAAAAGGAAGCACTTTGAAAGTGTGTTATTACGAATTTAAGCCAACAAAACAAGCTTGAAACACAATTGTGACAGCTATAAATTGATAATGGCTAAATGTGCAAAGCTAGCGGGCACAACAAAACATATAATTTTGTGTATAATTTAAAGGCACGTTATAATTACATTTATAATACATTTTACATCTTTAATAATAATGTTTAATTTTGTTTAAATACTTTAGTGGTACACTCAAGGCCTCCAGCCTCGTAGATGACAAAAACTGGCTAATGCAGTTTTAAGTTTTCTACTTATGCTTGACTGTATCTCCACACTTTTTTGTGATGGTTTAATCTAGAGAATGTCAGACAAAAGTTTGGAAAAATTACTTTATTTATGTACTTTAATTGTACCCAAACATAGATTTACTTCAGGGTTGTTGTTGCAAAACTTTAAGGTTAACTTTATTTCACTCACTCCAATCATGCAGCCCCCCCTCAGCTCAAGAACCTGGAGAGCTGGAGCTTTTCAGCTGAAATCAGCCACAGTGGGTGGTGTGTGTGAGTAATTATGATAATTAGGTCAATGTCGGCAGAGTTTATACCGAGCTGCATGCTGCTAACAAAGTTGAGTGTTTACTTTGAGACTCTCCTTTCCAAAATAAAGGTTGCTGATGTTATCAAACTTAGAAATCTTCACCAAGAGACTGGTGCTGTTTCAGCCACTTCTAAAACATTGTGTTCTCACAAACAAACAATGACTACTCTCATTCCCGTACTCTGATCTAAGATTGTTATTCCCCTTAAACAAAAAGCTCTGCCCTTGGAGCTCGGAAATATAAATAATTTATATAATCATATGAATCTTTGTAATTTTAAGCTGCTACAAACCCACAGAGAATAAACACTGCAGCTCCAATTATCTTTTTTAGACTCTGTTGGAACATTATTTTGGTTTAACTGCACATTTAATGTTGAGTTCAGCCTCCGCTCTGCCCTATCACCCTTACTTCCCACAGCAGCAGGCTGTTGTTTTTAAATGTTTTTCCAAAACAATCCCCTATAAAGTCATAGTACACTACCTACCCAGTACAACACAACAACATAAAACATAATTTAGCAGGAAAGTGCATGAATGTTGCATTTACAATCCTCAGGAACTCCACTCCAATCGGAGGATAGTGCTGCTCCATTTCTGATGGATTTTAAAATGTTGTTTGTTGTAGGTACTTACTACATTTAACAAGCTGTGGAGTATTTTTGGCAACCCAAGTGGACAATACATGTCACCATTTTAAGGTCCAGGTTTGTTTTGCTGTCTTGTACCAGATTCCAATGAGAGAAGTGACATCACTTTCACCACTGTGTGCCCACTACAGAGGGATATCCGGCATCTCTTTAGCCTATAGCTTAGAACAAAGACTGAAAGCTAAAGATACTTGCTAACGTCCATAAAAAGCAAAAATAAAAATCCAAACCAAAAGCTATTTTTCGACGTCAACCACTGAACAACGTGATCTCAGTGTATGGAGCAACAGTCCTGTCCCTAAAATGAGTTTCCAAGCTAGCTAAACATAGCTGAATGCTCTTCAGACAATTGGTTGCTAGCTTAGCTGCTAACAAGACACAACATGTAATAACAAAACGTTTGAGGTTTTATTAACAGAGCTAGTACAACAGTTGCTTACAAATCACATGTCAGATTTTAATTATTTTCACATCTTAATCTGGCTAACATGACAGGTGTATTTTGAAGTGGGTTGTTGAATTGTTATTTGTTATGACCTGACTAAGGTGGTCCTAACAAGCGAAACAACTTTAAAAAATAATATTTTAATAAGCATAGTATAATTGTCAATTTAATCAAATAAAGAAGTCATTATAGTGTAAATGTCAATGAAACTAGTAGCAAGTGTGAGGGAGGGTTTAGGGGATGGTGTGTATAAAGGTATGTGTTTGAAGGTGTTTGAAGACCAAAAGTAACTAATTAACTATAATTAAATCAAATATAACGATAACTTACTATCAGCTTTTAATGCCTAAAATTCTGATTGTGTCGAAATAGCTGGCACTTTTAGAGTACCATAAAGTAATCTTACTCCTCATTATTATAAGGACATATAGGGCACACACACACACACACACACACACACACACACACACACACACACACACACACACACACACACACACACACACACACACACACACACACACACACACACACACACACACACACACACAGTAGACGACGTACGTACGTACGTACGTAGTACGTACGACCG